TTACATTGCCAAAATTTTGGTTATAAAACTTCAAGATGATGAGGGAATTTTTAATGACTGAAAAAGCCACTAAGAATTATGAGATTATGTATTAAAAGGAGATTAATCTTATCCTAATGGATGACATCAAACACTATATGTAGAAGATTTTTTTAAGTGGGAACTAATTTTTTTTTTCCATTAAAGCACTGTAGTATAGGGGCGCCTGGGTGGCTCAGTCAGTTAAGAGTCCTACTTCGGCTCAGGTCATGCTCTCACAGCTTGTAGGTTCGAGTCCCGCATCAGGCACTGTGCTGACAGCTCAGAGATTGGAGCCTGCTTCAAATTCTGTGTTTTCCTCTCTATCTGCCTCTCTCTCTCTCTCTCTCACTCCCTCCTTCCCTCCCTCCCTCTCAAAAACAAATAAACATTAAAAAAATATTTTTCAAGTATTGCCTTTGAGCCTGGGTTTTCTAGAATAGGTACAATTTCAAATATTCTACTTCCTTAAACCAATGGCTTTCTGAAAATTACAATATTTTATTATTCAGGCTAGTCTGTATATCTCTTCCGACTCTTCCATCTGGAAATAACATAAAAGTTCTTTGTGGGGTCATGTGATCTAAATGTTGGTTTGGGTAAATAAATCATCATAGACATAGCTGGGGGGAAAATATCAGGTTACAAATTTAAGAGATCCTGACTCTAATCTCTGTTGAATTACTGGCTATGAAATGACCACTAGACTTTCAAATAGCTAACACAATATATATACTGATTACATTACATATAATCTAGTATTGATTATATTAGGGGACATATAATCAGTAGTAAGACTTGCAGTACCTGTGAGGAAAACCAAAGTACTAGCACAGAGGCCTGATTGTTGTTGATACTAAGAACCAAGATATAGTTCTCTACTAAGTACTTACTCATAGAGATCACATGAACATTGACAACCCCCTTCAATGTGCTTCAAAGGATTTCTTATTACAATAAATACGTTGAAGACTTTGGACCAAAACACAAATTCACAGACACCAACATCTGCCCTCTGAAATGTTGTTTTGAGGAAGTGACTCAATACATCTTCTGGGAACAACTGCTATAACTCTGTAAAGGTAAACATCTAAATTTTTTAAACTCAGAATATTAAAGTATTTCATATTAAAGTTGCTTAGTCAAGAATTCAGATGTTCTAGACTGACCTACTGCCTGTAACTAACTAATTTTCTGATCCTGGTGTGAATACAATACAGTTAAATTAAATTTTATTCAAATCCAGTGAGATCCAGACAGAATTTCTTTTTTCTCTTTCTTACAAGGGAAGAGGGAAGAAAACGGTTTCTCTCTGTGATTGTGCTTGGAATATGGTACAGAAATGTCAGAGTAAGTACGGAATGTGCACGTGAATGTGCATTTGTTGTGATAGGAATATAGGGGAAATTCTACTTTAAAAAAAATACACCAGGGGTGCCTGGGTGGCTCAGTTGGTTAAGCATCTGACTTCAGCTCAGGTCATGATCTACCAGTTCATGGGTTCAAGCATCGCATCAGGCTCTGTGCTGACAGCTCAGAGCCTGGAGCCTGTTTCAGATTCTGTGTCTCCTTCTCTCTCTCTGTCCCTCCCCAACTCAAGCTCTGTCTCTCTCTATCAAAAATAAAAATTTTTTTAAAAATTTAAAAATAAATACACCAAAAAAGTCCTAAACTTTCCCAGACAAACTTTAATGTGATTATTTGCTTTATAAATTATATCTTCTGCATAATTTAAGTGTTCAGTAACAGCTCACTGATATCAGACTAAGACAAAGGAAATTTAAAGCAAAACTATTAAGAGCCATAATCTACCAATTGATTGAAAAGAAAAAAGCAAAAATTCTAATGCAAATCAAAAGGAAAAATAAGGATTATAAGTAAAAATGCGATATATTCAAATGAATACAGTGAAGCATTTCTATCAAAGCTGCCTTTAAGCTTTCTTACACTAGACTGTGTTTGATTTTGTTTCTACAACAGGATAAAGAAGAAAACCACTAGAGTTTCTTTGACCATCAGTTCCCTGGTTAATGAAACCTCCAACATCAGATCAAGTTATTCTAACTTAGTTCAACCACTGTATATTGACCCCCAAAGGGTATGTTCAGTTTTAAAGCCTTCTGAGGAGAACCAGTAATAGAAACACAGACCCAGAGAAAGAGGAATTAATCTTGAAAAGTATACATGAGGAGAGCCTCCAGCTGCATGACCTCAAAAAAGAACAAGAAAGAAATCCATGGGTCTCAGAAATAACTCCACTGGTAGTTCTGTAGGTCGGCCATTTGTCTATGTGCCAGACCATAAGAGACAGTTGGTTTCTAGGAGCTCAGTCCCATAAAAGAGTATTCCAACTATCCATGGAATGAATTCCCTTTTAATTAAAAAAAGAGAGGAGGGGGGCAGGGAGATGCCTTTACAAAAGCCTAGAAGAGAAGAGAAGAGAAGAGCAACTGTATAGAGGAGGGGGGGAAAAACCTAGTCTGTAAAACTTACCAGTTATTTATGCCCTTTATATACAGTCTCTACATAGTTGCCAGAACTCATTTCCTACATGTAATTGCCCAGTGTTATATTACACCATCTCAGCTGATGGAATGTTGGAGGAGAGGGGAAAAAAATGGTGGCACAAGAACAGATATCCCAAAGGACATTTAAATTAGAAGCTTTATCCTTGTCAAAGAGGAAATCTGGGGTGTGGGTGGTAGCAGCTAAAAGTGATTCAGTCAGTACATAGCCACCATATACCTAGGTTTCAGGACCTTGACAGTATGGATGATATTCTCTCTTCTATTTCTTAAACCAGATGCTGAGTCCCTGCAGCAGCCTGTCTGGATCCACCTGTGTTGTAGCCCCTGTGTTCACCAAGGTAACCTACCCATACTACACGGTGAAGTTTAGTTTATCTATTTTATTGATAAACTGTAGGTGTTATCAAAGCAGTAAGAAGGAAAAGGAGAAACTAAGAAGAACCTCAGAAATTACTGTTGTATGTATGCAAAAAGTGAGTACCAGAAGGGGAGAGATTACTGTTCAATGTCACAGAGCAACTCAGGGTTTATCCTATACTCTTTAGACAATCTAGGTCGATCTCCAGCTGTGGAGGGCAATGTTAGACTGTCCTCTCCAAGTAGACGATTCTCTACCTGAGCTCATGGTTTATCCAATTCTCCAAACTAGCCATAAGATGCCCTTTTGAAGAAATCAGTAAGTAAAGCTATGTTTATTTCCTGCTTGGCGAACAGTGAGAGATAGGATTAAGAAGGCTCCTGTATCATTTACTGGAAATAGCAGGATTCAATCAACGAGGCCAAACCAAAGTAAGGTTGAAACCTTTGGGCTCACTGCGCCCCAGTCTCCAAAACTGACAGAAATGGAACCACTGCTTTTTGCTGGCTCAAATGGGAAGCAGGGCAGAGACTTAACGTGTACCAAATACAGAATGCAAGCCACAGGAAACAATGTCATTAAGAATAAGGCATGGGGTGCCTGGGTAGCTCAGGGAGTTAAGCATCTGACTCAAATTCGGCTCAGGTCATGATCTCACAGTCATGAGATAGACCATGTGGAGATTGCTTGGGATCTCTCATTCTCTCTTTGCCCCTCCCTTGCTCATATGCATGTGTGTTCTTTCTCTCTCATTCTCTCTCTCTCTCCCCCTCTCTCTCTCTCAAAATAAATAAATAAACTTAAAAAAGAAGGAGAAGATGGAGCACTACTATAGATTCTGGAACCCTGCTTGCAGCAGAAGCTGTCTGCAATATGTGTTTATTATTTCTACAAGTTTCCTACTGCATTTCTTCCCTGTGATAATGCAGCCCTGGGCATCAGGCCTCAAGGGCTGAGCTGGTGGTCACTATGTCTCACCTGATAGAAGGACCTCAGATACTCCCTCTCTGGAGTTATAATCTGAAATGTAATTCTAGATTCTAGAGGATTCTGGAGCTGAAAACAGGAAAGGAGGGGAATCAGGATTTAAGGTGAATATTTACACAAATGCCACCCATTCATATATGCATTGTGAGATCAAACCACCTATTTTTATATATTTTTTATATAACAGTATACTCTTTAAAGAAGAGTTTAAAGTATACTCTTTAAAGAAAAGTTTGCACTCTTTAGAGAAGGTTTTCAGATTATCTATCTTAAATAAGCCTCAAAACCTCAACAAAGGCTGAGCATTTTGGTAGCCTTATTTCACAGATAAAGAACCTGAATTCCACAGAGATTAAGAGTTTCCTAGTTCTGGGGTTCCTGGGTGGCTCAGTCAGTTAAGCGTCTGACTTAGGCTCAGGTCATGATCTCACAATTCGTGGGTTCAATCCCTGTGTCGGGCTTTGTGCTGACACCTCAGAGCCTGGAGCCTGCCTGCTTTGGATTCTGTGTCTCCCTCTCTCTCTGCCCCTTCCCCACTTGGGCTCTGTTTCTCTCTCTCATTCTCTCTCTCTCAAAAATAAATAAACATTAAAAAAATTTTTTTTTTTTAAAAAAAGATGGAGGATTTAGTAGGCAATGAGGCTGTTAAAGGTGAGATAAGCCTAATTGTGGGTCATAGATTTATATCTTATAAAGAATATATAAAAAAAAAAAAAAAAAAAAAAAAAGTTTCCAAGGTCCTACAATCAGTGTCAATCAGCTAGTGGCAGAGTTGAGATTTTGGTCCAAGTCCTCTAATTCATGATTCAGAATCCTTAACAAATTATAAACGCTGCCCACACTACCTGACCAGTAATAAAACTTAAATCTATGACTATACATGAACTCAAGAAAATAATAAAAAAAAAAAGGGAAGAGTTTTCAACTAACTGGTTTCCTATTTTGAAAAATGGCTCTTGGGGAAGAAAATAACAACTTTCTCCATGAAATTAAAAGTAACTTCCATGTGACTGTCAAGCACATTATACAGCACAAAAGCTTCCCAGCAACTCCTTATTTTGATTAAAGGACAGTTGGTTGTCAATAACTATGACAAAAAGCATACTTACTACAGCAGGCATCTCAAATCATCGCATATGGTGAAGGAGTTTTCTCTATTCTATGAATTCTGTTTGTTCTTCAGCATCTTCAAGACATCTCTACAACCAGTGGTCAGTCTGTCGCATTTGAATGCCACATCCAGGCAATAACCACAGTTCAAGTTCACTGGTACAGAGAGAAAGAGGAGATAGCAGACTCTGAGGACTTCCAGATTCTGAGGAGAAGTATTGTCACAAGCTTTTTGATTTGCTTTTTATTTCAATTAACCTTTAAATCTAATTCATGTTTTAAAGTTTGATAGCTGATTTGTTACAGGCTCAGAAATTTCTATTGTTAAACAATTATTTCAAATCCAAGTGATTCTTCAACAAAACAACCAAAAATGAAAAGATAGGGTTTTCTTGGTTTGTTTTGTGTATGTATGAAACAATAGTTTTAATAGCTGTGAAAAAAATGGTTTATTTTCATAAATTAACTATCTTCCCACTTAGTTCTTGGTATACAAACAGGGAAAAAATGTGATAATAAACATTTTTTAAGAGTAAAACAAATTAATAATGATGCATAGATTCCTAAATACTTTTTTAAAGTTTCTTACTAAATAATTAATTTAGGGAAGAGTAACAAGTGTGATGATCTACCTCATGCCAAACGCTGCTTATACTTCATATGCAACCTTTCATTTAATCTTCATATCAACCTTTTGAAGTATGCATTTTTACCTCCATTTTATAAGAAAAGTGAAATTCAGAAATACTAAATGCCTTGCTCAAGGTTACAAAGCTAATCAATGCTACAAGCCAGGGTTCAAGCCCACAACAGTTCTTGCACCAAGTGATGAAAATATATTCATTTAAATATTAACTAACTGAACATTTATTTGCACATCACATTCAGGAAGGAAAACCTCTATTATATAATTTGACACTAGCATAAAGAAGAAATTTTAAATTACCCATATTCTCATCACCCAGAGAAAACTATTAATCTTTGTGTATTTTTCTACAATAATACTTTTTATGTTTATAACGTAATATTCATTTTAATTAGCGAGATTAAAAAAAAAGTTTTCTTGAGAAAAAGAGACCACCAGAGGATTAATGACTCAAAAATGGTTCCCATTCAGAGAATGGGATAGAGATGAAGAATTAAGGGCCAGAGAAGTAATTTTCACAAAATCACAGAGCAATTCAATAGTAGAACAGGACAAAAACAGTTCTTCCACTACCCTTCAAGTGTGCATTCCATTATGTACCTTTTTGGGTTTCTACAGAATTTATAGCCTGTGACTCCAAATTATACTCAACTCTCCATTTGCTTTATTCATGTTATTCCTTATATAACATGGCCCCTTCTCCCAACTAAATTAACCATCATTTAAATTCTCTCTTTACTCTCGTTTTATCTTTCAGAAGCTTGTTTATCACCTATTCTCGGTAAGCACAATTTTTCAACATCTTGCTAACAAATGATTAAATCAAAATTTCCATCAGAAGACTTTGTCTCCTAGATCACTTTTGCCTTCATGAGCAGTTTCGAGGCTACCCTATACCAACTCTTGAGCTGAAACAACAAAAACAGAAAGATAACTGGGATTTATCAGTGTATTTATTCATCTATTCATTCACTCAACATAGTACGAAGACAGTCTGGTTCCATTCCTGGCACTGAGGAGGTCCCTGTCATCACAGAGTGTGTATTCATCCTCTCATGTATGACTGAGCTCTACACAGAGGCAGTAAGGAGATATCCTGCCATCAAACACGCAAGCTGTTGACTGTCCAAGAAGTAGAGTAGTGCCCATCACACAGTGGCCATCACTGTACTAACAGTAGGTTGAATTATTCTGGCAATGATAAATTTTAGGTCAGTTCAGAAAATCTTTCTATAGGACCTTCATGCTAAACACTATAAAGCTACAGGTATCTAGAAGTCAGGAAATAAAGTGTGATGCTTGCTTTCAAGGAACTCACAGGATAGTAAAAAGATGCGTCAGAAAGACAGGACAGGTGATAGAGAATCAGTACTAGGCTGTATTTTTAAGACTTATTATCAGCAGCCCACTGAAAGACAAAAAGTCTAATCAGATGGGATTTTTTTAAAAATTCAGAAATAGGCTATTCATTCCTAGTACCTACTCTCCGTTGATTAACTTGGGTCTCCAAAAACTCTGTTTAAGTTGAATCTCTTGCCTTTCCAGAGGAAATCTGCACCTTGATTATCACAGAAGCATTTCCTGAAGACTCTGGAGAATTTAAGTGCATTGCAGAAAATGAGGCTGGGACTGCAGTCTCTAAAGCAAGACTCTTTGTTTCCCCAGGTAATTGCTCTTCAGGATGCCCCTGCTCCAATTCAGTCATGAGCCAGGAGGAAAATTCTGTTTCTTTTGTAAGTTAGTGAATAATAATATTTTTCAGAAGGAGAAGTGGAGAAACCAGAGAGTTCTCCAAAGTTACCCATGAGGAAACTTTCTTCAGAAATGGCCTCCTTTCCTTGGAGCAGTGATAGCTACACAAAGGACAAAAATGCAGGTGATACCCCAATGAACATTATTTCAACTATTCCTGAACCATCCAGTCACAGTGAACATGAGATCCAGGCTCCAAAGGAGGATTTCTGCAATGAAAATTCCACTGAGCTACAACCACAACGGTAAGGGCAGACAGACCTAACACTCACTCATTCAACAAATGTTCTTGGTCCTGCAGATATGACATTGTACATGACAAAATTCTTGCCCTGAGGGAGCTTGCATTTGTGGTGAATGACTTAACCATCATAGACCCTTGTCTTCCATTGTATATTTCACCAGGGCTGAAACAGTAAATCGTGTGCTTAGATCCACATTTAAGGGTTTATTACAGAGACTTCTTTTTTAAAACTTAATGTTGAAATGCCACAAGAATTTTAAAAAGTACAATCTTTTCGCCAAAAGAATTCAGGATCCTATCTCAATATAAATACATAAAACACTTTGTGATATAAGTTTCTTCCTGTTGTCTTAGAAAACCGATAGAATTGTCCTTGCATCTAAAATGCACAACTGTATAAATGTGAAGTTAACTTGGTGAATTTGGCAAGCAGGCTATGTTTAAAACACAATCCACTACCATCTCCAATACTCAAACACAAACCTCAAACCAAAACAGTGACCAAAAACAAAACAAAACAAAAAAACTAAAAAAACTAAAACTTGATACTTAAAAGTCATTTAAAATTTTGTTTTACCAATATCTAATGCATTCCACTAAATATTTTACCAACCTAAAGTTACCTTTAGATTAAATTTACGAGAAACACCTTAAGTAAAACTTAAAAAATGAACATTCTTGCCTATTTTCCAGTATCTAAATGAGCATCTATTAGTTACAAAATAAAAGATACTGGAATCTCTTTTAAGAAGAGATTTCTTGAGTAGTATTTGGGTCTTTAGATGAAAAAATGTATCACATTAAAGAAAAAAGGAATCAGAGGTCAAATACATGAAGCACCCCATTCTACAAAGGACTAAAATTGTAGATGACTGGCTGATATTGTTGAGGACTGCTTCCTCAGGCTTTTGTGACTCTGGAAAAGGTACTTCTCCAACTGTTTCTTACAATGAAGAAAGAGAAAGAAAGAATTTGAACTTGGAGATTAACAGACCTGCAACAACGTATGTGAAACACATAGTAGGAATTCATTAAATAGTAGCTATTACTTCACTGCAAAAATTTCCTAAGTTTTTTCTTAGGATCAATGTATCTGCAATAATAACCTATGACTGTGATTCCTCAGTTGGTCTCCTGGAACCCCTTTAGCTTCTGTGATCTCTAGTTGCATGGAGAGTAGCTGCCCTTATAAATAAAGATTTTTCATGAGGCCAAAGAAGAATGGGTGTGTGGGACAAAAGACTGCAATTTAGTCAACAAACATTTATTAAGCACATCCTATGTGATTGTTAGTTTCTATGTAAGACTTCCCTTGGGAAGACAACCAATACAGATACCTAAAACTTTTCTCCAGAAATTCATGTGTTTTGCAGTGAACCTTTAAGACTTAAAAGGACGTTGAATTTATAATATAGTACTTTTCACAGGAGATTACCACCTTTTCCATTAACAAAACCGTCTGTGGGAAAAATTATTGAACAAAAGTTCCATAAAAGTTAACAAGTTTTTAGTGAATGTCAACTATGAGCTACATTGTCCCAGGAAAGATAAAAACATTATCAATACTCCCTCCCTCAGTAAACATTTAACTTGGTTGAGGAGATATATTATACCATGTAATAGTCCATCATATGATTTCCTGTTTCATCTGAGTCTCTCAGCAACCCTCTCATTAGGTTAGTAAAGCAGATACCATCTTTGCTTTTCAGTTAATTATTAAAGCTCAGAGAGTTTAAGCCACTTGTCTCAGGTTACACAGCAAGTATTTGGTAGAGTGGGCACTCACACTCAGGTCTTCAAAACAGATAATAAGAAGGTTAATGTGTCAACAAAGTTGTAGAACATTAAACAAATAAATGTTATCATTTTTACCGTTTGACTTCAAACCTAGAGGAATGTCTATTATTATTTCTCACTTGAAAGAATAGAAAACAGAATCAAGTGCTCAAAAGGAGATATCAAATTATAAGTGCTACAGTGGGATGGAAGTTCAGTATTCATAGTGAACTACGCATAAACTGAAAATAAATGAAGTGTTCTTTACTCTTTAGTCCTTTCATCCTCAATGTGGTATTTGCCTTCTCAGTTGATACAGCAGAAATTAGCTTCATCACACACATCTGACCTCTGACTTTAGGCAAAGCTCACAGCACTATTCTACAATAGAATATATACTTTATATTTTAAAAAACAACAAGGGCTGTACACAAAGAAGGGACAAATGAGCGAGAGCTAAACAGCTAAGCCACCCCACCCTTCCAGTGACGATGGGAGAGAAAGAATCCCCTTAACGATTCAGTGAGAAGTGGGAAGTTGCATACATATTGTGAGACACTAGAATGATTCACCAAAGGCCATAGCTGATAATAGAGAGACAGAAATGGAAAAAGCTTTCTTTGGGGACAGGTTGGAATATACTTCACTCACCTGACATCTGATTCTTCCAGTTTTTAGGACAATTTTTTGTCAAATAAGCAATTAAACCATTCAAATAGCCATATTCGTGAGGAAACG